CACAGGCCCATCAAACATTTCAAAATACTTTTTCATCTACCTCTCCTATTGGTTCCAGCTACCTATGAGGGACAATTTAAAATCACCCTTCAATTTTAGATTTGTTCTAAGTACAATATGCCTGGATGCTGCAAGTACACACAATTTCTTGTGAACCTACAATAGAGGTGTGGCATTCTCTGCCTCTACATAAACAATTAAGACTTTGGTTACTAACCATCACCTTTCTTAATTATGATCTGGAGAGCATTCAGAAGCATTATGGTTAGTTTTCTCTTCAATCATTTACTAGCAAATTAAACACACTGCTTTGTTAAAATGCCTGGAGGGGAGAAGGATGAGGGGAGACCTTCTTAATGCTTTCAAGTATCTCAAGGGTGGGTGCAAGGAGGATGGAGCCAGACTCTGCTCAGTAGTTCCCAGTGACAGGATGAGGGGCAATGGGCACAAGCTGGAACAGGGGCAGTTCCATTTAAATATGAGAAAAAAACTTCTTTATAGTGAGGGTGACAGAGCCCTGGGACAGGCTGCCCAGGGAGGTTGTGGAGTCTCCTTCTCTGGAGATATTCCAGACCCCTCTGGATGCAGCCCTGGATACTTTGCTCTGGGGGATCCTGCTTTAGCAGGGGATTGGACCAGATGATCTCTTGAGGTCCCTTCCAACTCTGACAATTCCATGAATCCGTGAAGGTAACTTGATTAATTCAAGTGTTATGAATTGGCTTGAAAATCATGTTTATTATGAAAGAAGAAGTGAAGAATGAATGAAATCAAAGAAGGAATGAAAATAAAAACTATTGCTGGACTTTGCCCATGCTGAACCTTTACCAACATATGGTTCTTAGAGTATCACTGCAAACAGCATCTTTGGAGTTCATGAATAGTCATTTGTTTTCAGTTATTTCTCCAGAGAAGGAAAAGCTAGGTATTGCCTGATACTTTAAAACTTGGAGCACATAAAGATTTGTCTACAGTGCTAAACTCCTAAATCAAATGTCTCTAATAAATCTTCACTCTTATACATAGGAGGCCACCAGGGAAAGATGCCTTTCTCTTGTGGTTGCAGGCAGCAAAGGAAGTTATGATTGTTTTGCTTTATGTGGGAGAATGTATAAGTTTCTGTTGTGAAACTCATGTATAGCATGAAAAATGCTGGGAACCTCTCACTTAAGACTTCTCATTTGAATGTAGGAATATCCTGGCTCCAGCATATTCCAAGGTGAATCAACACTCTGCTTCTATCTCAGCCCCTTTTGTGCACGCTGGTTGTTAATGCTGCTCTGAAATGCAGAAGGGAACCATCACACTGGGAAGTGCTTGGTCTCAGAATTCTGCTGGCTTGCAAAACGTAGCAACAGAAATCCAATAAAGATTGAGAAAAAAAATATCACCCAGCCAGCAACTACAAATGCCTCCATCTGATCATTTTCAAACCTAACCACGGAGCCTGCACGACAGATGCCTTTGAAGGGTCTTGGTTCTCCTCATTAAGCTTTGCAGGCTGTTTCCTTGATTTGAGGATATTAATATGTTCACCTTAAAACCACATCTCTCCCTCCATTTGGTTTGTAGCCCAGCAGAAAGGGAAAATCTGTCATAAATTTTAGACAACGTTGAACTTGCTGGTGTTGAGCAAAATTATGTTTTTCATATACTGGTGATTTACTAACCTCCCTAATAGACAACTTCATTTTCCAGAGCTGTCCTAAATCTTAAAATCAATTTTAACATCATATTAAGAACTCTCTGTCCAGTCTTTGACATATTTTCTTTTTTATTACTCCTGGTGTTTTAAATACTTTCCCCTTCCCCAGTCATTTAATTATATGAAATCATAACCAACACTTTTCACCAAGATCCACTTTTTTTTCCTTTATCTGACAACCTTCAGAGATGACTTCTAACTCTCAGATCAAAACTTCAATGCCACTAACTTTTAATTTTTATTCTTTGCCTTGGATTTAATGAAAAAAAGACAGGATTGTCAAATTTACATGAAAAATTAGTTCAATATGCTATTATAATTTTAGAATTGTAATATTAACTCCAATATGAATTAAATATGCCAAATTTAAAAGAAATCTTGAAGCCCAGCTTTTCTAAATTTGAACAAGAGCCAGTCATTCTTTTAATCAAAACCATGTTAAATATTCATTCATGTTTCAGTGTGAGCACTTATAATACAGTAAACCCTTCAGTGCAACCACCAATATAGCACAGAATCAATTTTATCACATAATCCTAGGGCAAAATAATCAGCCACTATATGCAAAGATTATATTACAACCATGGGCAGTATTGACATTAAACCTCAAGTTATTCTAACACACAGAAAAGCAAAACTGAAATCATACAGTGGTATGATTAAGAGAAATAAAAAAACATCTGACACTACCATATTACAGTATTTTTAAAGTCACTTATCAATGACATTAAAATATTGGACGAGGCAGGATGAGAAAATAAGATCTGTAGACTATTGCCTTATTAATTCTAAGCATTAAGTTTATAGTTCTCAGAAATGTTAATGGTTAAGGGATTTTTAAGATAAGTCTCTGTCATTATTGGTGCTCAGCACAGAACCACTACCACTAAAAGAGCTGATTCTCACAAGACAGGTAAGGTCAGATACTTCAAAATGTCAGGAGAAAACCCACAGGGAAAACAGAACTTGCATTACATCTTAGATTATTTGAAATACATAAGACTTGACCACGCCTCTAAGTGCTGAATAGGAAATGCATTCTGACACCAAAAGAATTTAAACTCCAAAATGGAGTATGTCACATTGTCTACATGTATGTGCACACACACACACTCATCCTGGATTGTCCATCCAAGCAACTCCTTGTAACTTGCACCTACCAAACCGAAAAAAACTCCTTTAATTCCTCCCCTATCCCACAAATTAATAACACCAAAATTACCCTGCACTGCCATGATACACTTTCTGGAGGGATCACAGCATCCTTCCTCATGATGACTTCAGGTAGGACTCTCTGAAAACAACCAGCAGGGATTGAAGTGCTGAATATTTGAAGTTATGATTAATTAAAAATATCTCCACTATTATGATTTTTTGCTTTTGTTTTCAAGCAAAATCAGGCATTTAATAAAAATAGCCTTTTCAATAATCTCTGCAGTGAGCTACAGCTTCTACATGCACAATTTTTGTTATACAAAATAGATAATACAGGGATAGTAATTTCAGAATGAGAAGTATTAGACATAAAAATAAGTAGACTTCTACAAAACCAGTCTTTTCTGCCATCAGAACTTTCTAAAAAGGACATATCATATACAAGTTGTGGCAAGCCAAGGACTGGATATCCCATAGGATCTCCCTTTCCTGCATTATTATTTAATGCAGAAAATTATCACGTAGTTCATAATCAGCAAAGAGATTTTGCTTATAAAGATTTTGCAGTTATGAGGCAGGGAGTATCACAGAGTTTTTTTCTGATGTTCACACATTCTGAAAACTAAACTAACCAGGGGTCTTTAACTGATTTAAGCAGCTTCCTGAGAAATCACCAACTCCACAGACAATCAGATTTCATGGTCAGTCAGTGCTATATTCATGTGTTCTCACACGTGTATCAAAGCACCTGTGACATTCACCATAGAGGCAGGAACACGAGACACAATCCTATGGCTCTAAAAGCCTATTTTATTAAGAAAAGAGTGAAATTTGGCATGAAAAGAAAATTAAAAGAAGAAAACCAAGAATTAAAACCGAAAATTAAAAGAAAGCACCGACTGTTTTCATCCTGAATGGACCCTCCCATGCAAAAATGCCAAGGGGAAACATCAAACACAGAGCCCAGGTGACACACCTGTCGAAGGTCAGTGGCACTTGGCAGAACTAAGATGACTCTCAGGTGATTTATATGGGCTCACAAAACACATCTGACACAAAGCCGCTGATTTTACAGGACCAGAGCAATCATAGCTAGTCATGCAAGTGAGTGATACCAAACGCTTGAGCCTCCTGAATAACAGAGGCCAAATAAGAATTACTTCAGAGCCAGATGATTATGGTTAAAGTTCAACATCTTTACCACAAACAACTTTAAACCATTACCAGTTTTAAGTCTTCTCATTTAGAAACAAAGTGCTTACAAGGACTTGAAGATGGTTCACAGGCTTGAAAAAAAAAAAAAAACCACCAACAAGCATTTAAAAAGTACACAAATGCCACAGTTTGGGGTTATTTTACTTGTAATAATGCAGATAATAGTGATGGATCATTGTTCCTTAAAATCAGTCCTCCCTAGGTCCTCAAATTATTTAAAATAAGGACTATAGAGTTAGATTTCCTTTAAAAGCAAATGCTTTGAAAACCACTTTCTGATGAATTGAGGATTTTTTCTGATACTTGCAACTGAAACAGAAGAGTTGGGGATAAAATATCCCATGTTCCAAAGCCTCTAAATAAACCTTGTTAAGAATCTCAGACAGAAGTCACATTATTACAACTGTTCAAAAGTAAAAAAATTCAGTATGTCATTGCTGGAACATCATTCTAAATGCAAAATTCAGGTAAATTGTTCCTCCTCACTAAACAGAGTAGCAACATTTTCTGTACCTACAAAGTTAGTCCTGTGAGTGTCTAGAGCACAAGCAATATGCCACAAAGTAAATTAGAAATCCACATGAAAATAATGTAGAGAAATTACTTTAAAACCACACATTTTCAGGCAAAGGAAATCTTTCAGTAGCACCCACATCTCACAACACAATCAGGACTGCAAATTACAGGAAAAAGTGTGTACTCAGGTTTCATATTTACTCCCACTGACCAGTGATACTTAAAACAGATATCCATTTTACATTTATATTGAGCTAAGGAAAATATCTACAGGAAAAGAAAAATCTAGCGAAGTCTGCTGTAATATAGATCATCAGGAAATGAAAACATTCTCATTCTTATGCTGCTAAAAATTACAAGCCCCTGTACCCTCTTCAAAGATCATCAGTAGATTTTTTACATTACTCACCCCACTGGAGAGGAGCCAACTGTAGATGCTCCAGGACCAGCTGATTAAGAACACCTTCCACACTTGCTTCCCCTTCACGCTTCAAGGAAGGGTAAATTGGAATTAAGGAAAATTTTGTTTCAGAGAGAAAAAGAACATGTCAGAGATAGCACTTTTATTATTGCATATCAAAACTGCAAGCTAGAGGTTCACTAAAGGTTAATGTTACATTTTTGGTCTTAGTAATGCATTAATTGGAGAACAATCATAATTGCAGCAGTTTTTATCTTCAGAAGATACAAAGGTAAATCCACTGAGAGGTGTTAAATATAAAGATGCAAAGGTAAAATGCACCTGAACCGTGGTAAAACACAAGGGGAAAAAACTCTGGAAGCTGCAAAAAAGCAGAACCTGTAACTATGTGGTGCAGGATGAGAACTCAAAGTGAGAAATTAAGAGCAATCTGAAAACAAAAAGGATAAAATTTAATAGAGAAATAGAAAATGGATGAAATGTGGGCTCTGAACAGTGGGTTGGTGTCAGTTCTGTGGAGGTAGAGGGATGTCAGACAATTCAGTGACAGTGTCAGTATTGAGGGCAAACATCATATAAGAACCCTACAGGCACAGAACCTTCAGGCTTCCCTTTCTGCTCACTCCTGTGTGAGCTCAGGAACAAGCTCAGACTGAAGTGAGCAGAAATCAGGAAATTGTTCTTACTCCAAGGACAGCAAAGCTCTGAAAGAAACTGTTGGGAAAAGCAGATTCTCTCTTTTTGAAGGGCTTCAAAACAGGTCGCACAAGTGCTGAAATAACAGCACAGGCAATATCCAATGTAGCACAAAGATAGTATGATGATAGTATTATCCATCAAAACAAATTAGTAATAATTTCATCTGATGTAGCAATCAAAGTAATGTGCATTTGTAACAGGAAGAGCACTGGGTTTCTAATTCCCTGCGTTCAGAAAGGCCCTGAAAAGAAGGGGCTGTGAAGCACATCAGCACCATCTGCTATTTGGCCAAAGCTGCATTCACTGGCTTTTTGTACCATTTTCTACCAGAGGGAGCCCCTATCTCAGGTAAGCTGAGAGGGAGAAGTGGAGGTGAAGCAAGCACAGCCCCATCCCAGGTGCACACACAACCTCTATAAGCCTCCATGTCCTCACACTGGAACTCCTCTGGAAAAACTTCTTTTGTCTTTCCATCTTGGCTCATGCTTTCCCAGAATGGGAGCATCACGCAGGCACAAAATTCAAGACAAGGGCAGGATCCTCTCTGAGACTTGAAAACCTTCCTTATCCAACCTCATAATCTTTAAGGTAACAACCACAGGTGAAGTGATTTCCCACTGTAATTAAGGGCTGAACTCCCAGCATGACTGAGCAAGGTTTCAAACTGACATCTCCAAAAAGGAGTCTTCCTCAAAAAGAGATGTAAAAAAATAAAAGTATATCTGAGTTTTTATAAACAGCTTCTAAATGTGATCAGTTCACTTTCTGCAAAACTCTGAAAAGAGAGGCCCATCATCCGACTGATAAAGTATATTCCCATTTGTGTCATTTAAAAGAAAATTAACAAGTACTGCAGATAACTAATTTCTACCACAGGACTTAATTTGACAGGCTCTCCAGTAGAAAAGTCTTGAAACCTCAGATCAAAAAGAGATCTAAAAATTAGTGATTGAGACTCAAGAGCAGAAGGAGATGATAGAAGAGGGAAATCAATACATTGCTAGCATTCTTTTTTAATAATCCTCATTATGTTCTGAAAAATGTCTTAAATAGCCTTTTTATTTTTCTCCTAAAAGAACTTTAGATGAAGAATTTACAAACCCCCAAGAGCAGTAAACACCATTAAAGAAAAGCACCTATTTGGAAAAATAAAGGCAGCAGAAGCCACCTCAGAAAAACATTCC